CCATTGTGTAGCTTGCTGTAGTTTGTACATTTTACTTTCATAAATTAATTTAAGACCATGCTTTAAAAAGAAAGCAAGAAAAAATAAAATAAGATAAGCTACACCCTTATGTAGAAAGAATTGAAATTTAATTTTTGAAATTTTAATCATAAGCGTATAATATAAGTAATAGTAATATAACAATAACTCCATCAGAATAGTGTTCCCATAAATCATAAGATCTTGATTGCTTTGATTCTTGCAATCAGTAATGTTTGGTGAAAAACATGCAAAAGTTAATATTTAGAGAGGGATTCTCAAAAATTTCAATAAACTCTGGAAAACGTTTTATTTCTGTATTTAAAAATAGCACCTGTCTCCATTTATATTAATTGATACCTCTTCTATAAAAATCATCAGCTTGGAGGGTAAAAAAAGAAAATGGATATATGCCTAGTTCTTTTTTTTTCCCCTCCAGGTGCTTCCAGAATGAGTATGTATTTAGGAGGCCATTGGATATGGTACCACCCAAATGTAATGTTAAGCATGTATATTTTAGATCGGTCTATTGTCACGTATGCCATTTGGAAGTGGAATGAAAGAGCTTTAGAAAATAGCTTCAGAATCAGACCAATAAATCATCTAGTCTGGTGCGGATAGCTTTAGGTCCAAGGACTACATGTGGTTCTGGAACCCCTTTTTGTTTTGGCTCCCTGGGTGACTCTGATCACATTGCCAGATGCTAAAAATTGACAGTATAGTCTTCATTTTAGACAAAAGGACTTTACCAAATTTAGAAGAATAGGGAAATCCCATGTGTATAATATGGCTTGCTCACTTTGTGTTAATCCATCCCACACATAATGTAATGTTTTGGGTCACCAAACGGTTTCCCACAGTGATCCTTTACTGAGTAATGTTCAACATAATGCTTCTCAGAAGTTCAAAGATTTCCAAGAATAAAAGCAATGGTATACTCTCCATTATCTGAATTTAAACTATACATTAAAAGATTTATCTCCATAATCCCCTTTTCAAATAATCTAAACCAGAGGACATAGCAGCAGTTATGTGTGAGAAAATAATGCAGATTGAAAACCATGTGAATTACTGATGTGATTTAACATTATTCTAGTTTGCATTGTCAGAAATAGTGCCCAAATGTGAGAATGAATGGCACCACTTTTGCTTAAAGATTTGTGTTCAACCCTGAAACTGGGGTATAACCTATGTATGTACTACCCTATCTAGTATTTTTGTTGTTTGCTATGAAAATTGAAATTTTAAGACTTATATATAACAGTTACATTTAAAGCAGTGATGCACAGTCTTAGTTGTAAAAAACGAAGCTGATGAGGGAAGAACCCGCAGTGTCAACACTAGAGACAACCAATATTTTAACATAGAACAGGTGCTTTTCAAAGCTATTGAAAGAACAGCTAAGTATCTACTATCTTGGAAAGATTAGGAAAAAATGTAGAGTTTAAACCCTGGAGCATAGTTCTATATATAGGCTTTGTTTTCTGCATGCTGAGAGCATATGGCTTCATTCTGGTTTACAATAAGGAGATAGTTCTAGCCAAGTTGTGTCTGAGAGTCTTCTGCCAAATAAGCTGATTTCTAAATAAGGTGGTTAAGTGTCAAGAGAGTTGAGATTTACAGCCAAGTGTAGTATAACACCTGAAAATTGGCCCTCCAGGCCCATATATTATGGTCCCAAGATTATGATGCTGAAATTTATCAGAACAAAATAATGAAACCCAGTGAAGCTTTTCCAGATGGTTTTGTAAGGGGGGAAAAAAATCAGGATGGTCATTTAGCCTCTGCTGGTCTGCACCCTTTTGTATTTTAAAAAATCCTCAAATCCAATGCAGGACCAATGGCACTTAGGTTAAATTCACAGGCTAAATAAATCTGGCTTCTGGGTTAAAATGGTTAATTGTCATTGAATTAAAGAATTATAGTTTCTTTTAAGAACAAAAACAAAAACATTATGTTATTTCAAAAGTTTAGTTAGACTTTACCTATTTGCTGATGGAATTTTTTCCTGACTTGATTTCTTATGGTTATAATCTTCCTATGATTACTTAAGTGATTCTGAAAACTAAATTATTGGAGTCATATTAACATATACAGTAAGCAATAACAACTGGTCCAATAAATTTGCCTTCATAAATTACAAGCAAATGAACAAATTCTGTTTTGTAACTTTAAGAGCAGATAGTCACATTATTTCCAAAATTTTGTCAATCCAGTTTTATTGGAGTGGTTCTGAAGTTAGTAATATGTCCACTTTTTAAAAATTGTATTAAGCTAAGTAAAAAAAAAAGAATTTTCAACTCTTAATTATGTTTGCTAACAATGTTTAAAGGAAGCATCTGATACTCAGTAAAATATTCTTGTTTCAAAAATTGCTAGCTTGATAGCAAATGTTAGTAAGCATAATACTTTTAAAAACAGTTT